CCTTTGGGTTTGCACTGGAACTACACTACCAGCTTTCCTGGTTCCCCATCTCGAAGACTGCAGTTAGTGAGATTTCTCAGCCTTGATAATGACATGAGCTAATTCCATAATAAATCTCTATCTTATATCTATGTGTGTCCTGTTGGTTCTGTTGCCCTGGAGAACCTTGAATAATACAGTTACGTAGTGGGTTACCTAGTAAATTTATTTACTTTAAGTTACAGTCAGAAAGTTTAAAGTCTTAGACTTAAATACCTTAGTGTAAGGTATTTGCCTGTAAGTGGGATTGCTTGGTCCTAGGGTACCTGTATCTTAAAACATTAGATAGTGCCAAATTGTTCTACAAAGTATTTGTACCAAGCTACACTATCCCTCATAAGATACGAGCTCTCGTAGTTTCATATATTTGTCACACTTGCTATGAACTTTTTAATTTTTGCCAATCAGGTGAGTTTGAAATTGCATCTCATGATTGCTTTAATTTCCATTTCTTTCATACACAATGTACATCCTTGTAAACAATTTTTGGCTGGATTTTCTGTTTAGCATGAAACTATGGGATTGTTGCCTCACAGTAAAATTACTGGTTTAAAGAGCATGAAGTATTATGAAGCTCTCAATATTATCAGAATTTTCTCCACAAGGGTTGTAACAGTTTATAGATACATAAAGCAGTGTTTGCTAGTGGTCGTCTCATCAAATCCTTGCACATAGGTATTTTATTAAAAAGCTTTAAAAGTTTAATAATTTGATAATTATAAAACTGTATCTCATTTGTTTTACTTTCATTTGTTAGATTGCAGGCAATATTCATTTTTGTTATTTAAGAAAGTTTATTTTCTGTGAAATTCTTAGAGAAAGATTCATTTTAAAATGTTTTTTGAGGCTTGGTGTGGTGGCTCATACCTGTAATCCTAGCACTCTAGGGGGCTGAGGTGGGAGGACTGCTTGACCTCAAAAGTTTGAGATTGCAGTGAGCTATGATGACACCAGTGCACTGTACCTTGGACAACTAAACGAGACTCTGTCTTCAAAGAAAAAAAATGTTTTGGTTTTTTGTTTGTTTGGTTGGTTTTTGGGGTTTTTTTTGAGGCCAGGCATAGCGGCTCATGCCTGTAATCCCAGCACTTTGGGAGGCCGAGGCAGCAGGATTGCTTGAGGCCAGGAGTTTGAAACCAGCCTGGGGAAACATAGCCAGATCTTGTCTCTACAAAAAATGTAATAAAAAATTAAGCTGGTTGTGGTGCCATGCGCCTATAGTCCCAGCAGCTAGGAAGGCTGAGGTGGGAGGATCGCTTGAGTACAAGAGTTAGAGGCTACAATGAACTATGATCATGCAACTGCACTCTTGCCTAGGTGAAAGAGCTGTCTCTAAAAAAAAAAAATGTTTCTTGCATTTTTGTTTTCTCTACTGTAAATTCATGTATCGTTTGCCAGTTTTGTATTGGAGTCTTAGTATTTACCTTGTCAATTTATCTGAGTTAGTTCTAGAAAATGAGGGTTTAATAGGAAAATTGTACCGTTTTCTGTTTAACATGTAGCTGGAGACAAAGTTTTTGAGAGTGTAAAACAGTTTTGGTTCAGCATGTTGAGCATAGGGATCAACCTCTCTTACCTTCCAAGGCCCTATTAAGGAAAAGAAGAGGTGTTTTATAAAAGAATGAATCCTTAATAGTTCTGGAAACAAGTTAGGGGTGCCATCAGTTGACTGGACATTTTGAGGTGATTGAGCATGGTAGAAAATATTTGGGATTGGAAGCTTTGTTTTCAAAATGGGAGACCAAGAACACACTTTGTCCCTCCGTAGGCGCCTGTGCAATAGATAGATGTTCAGTAACTGATAAGCAGACAGCAAACTGAGGCAGTAGCAGAGGTGCCGGTGGGGGTGGGGGAGGGCAGGCACTTTCATGTGGATGGATGAAATAGGCAGAAAAGGCTGCAACCCAGAGTAGGACTTGGGGGAGCGATGGGAGTTAGAACTAGGCCTGTAAACAGGGACATGAGCTGCAAGGCTGCTTGTGCCCCAGCTGTGCCCCAACTCATTTCCTCATTCTTGTGTGCATGGGCAGCTTCATGTTTACAGTTGACAAAACCTCAACTGCCCTCCTCAAAGGAAATGGATTCGACAGTCTAAAGCAAGCCAGGACTTCTCAGTAGATGTTGAGGGCAAAATGAAGTCAAATATAGAAATGCAAAAACTCATTGTTTCCCATCCAAAAAAGGCAGTTCCATAATTTCCTTACAGGAGGAACAAAGATGCAGGCCAGCTGGTTGGGAGTTTCCTAGCCCTGGACTGGACTACGTGTTAGCTTGACCAATGTTCTGTTCTTATTAGGACTATATAACTATTTGGAGTGGTGTTGGTGGAGGTTGTGGGGCAGCTAAAGTCACACAGCTCCACCCTGTCATCTCTGCTACTTTATAGTAGCAAAAATTTCTTGAGATACTCTAGAAAAAACAAAAACGAAATGGAGTAAGGATGAGAACATGAGCAGCTGTGATTTACTTACAAAACGTAAAGGAAGCTGGAAATACAAAAGAATATCCATTACTTTCTATTACTTGGAAGATTCTTATTCCAAATCGGGAGACATGGTATTTTACTTCATGTCTTATTTGCAGTTTCTTTTTTAACCACCAGAACTTATCACTTCTTTCAATACAGAAAGCCACACTAGTAATTGGGCAAAAAAGGGAGTGGGCTAAGCATCAGGTAAGTTGGCTTGACTAAATTGGCTACAGAGGTGGGGTGACTGAGGGACACAGAGTTCCCGTGTGGTTCCTTGATGTCTCCTTCTGTTTCAGACCAGAGGCCACACATTCAGGACATACAGTGTGGGGCCAGAAGGCAGGTGTCCTGACACACAGCAGCCTCCTCCCTCCTGGACTCTTTATATCTGCAAACTTGGATAGAAAGCCAATTTTACTAAACCAGAAAACTTACTAGGGGATACTCCCTGCTCCAGTTTCTGGAACACCTATTTAAACTGACCTGGGTTCAAATACTACTTTTTCCTGTTGTTTGATGCATATTCATTATAGAAAATTAGGAAAATGCAGAGTTAAAAACAAAACGTCATCCACAGTCCCATCAGTCAAAAACAATATGTTAGCATATTTTTGGATATTCCAAATCAAAGCCCTGAAGGGTCCCTAAAACTAACATCCTTACTGAGAGCCAGTCAAGAAGCCTAGTGATCTCAGGCAACTTGCCCACACTCATCTATAAGTGGCAGAACCAGGAAAAATCCCATGTGATGCCAGTCTCTGAACTTGTGTTGACTAAACCACAATATCTTGCAAAAGATCAGATTGCAGGCTTTATAGGATTCCCGACTCTACATCCACCTCCCCAGTAGAGCTAGGTTAAGACAGAGGCCCTTACTGGAAGTTTAGGATTTTGAAGACCAATAACAACAAGACTTTTCCAGAATTTTGTTTTTTTATTAAGTTTTTTTCCCTTTTTAATTTAGATATGCTATGTATCCAAAAAGTGAACAAATCTTAAGCTTGATAAATTTTTACTTACACACGTATCCACAATTCACATCAATATATGGAACATTTCCAGCACCCCTTAAGCCCCTTCCTAGGCAGTACCCCTGCCCACCCCCAGACTCCACAGGGACTTAAATCATCTTAAAAGTTTAGCAATAAAGATAATTAACATTTTTTTCCATTGCCATTTTAAAAAATATACTTTTTATTTTGGAATTTTAGATTTACAGAAGTTACAAAGATAGTATACTTTCACAATATTGACATGTTCATGTTAATATCTTACATAACCATAGCACATTTGTCAAAATTAAAAATTACTATTAACTAAGCTCAACATTTTATTTGGAATTTATAAAATTTTCACTAACATCATTTATTATGTTCCAGGATCCCATTAAGAACACCACCACATTGCATATGACAATTTCTCAGCATTGTTTTTGTTTTTGAGACCTTGACAGTTTTGAGAAGCACCGGTATTTTTGTTTGTTTGTTTGTTTTTTGAGACAGAGTCTCGCTTTGTTGCCCAGGCTAGAGTGAGTGCCGTGGTGTCAGCCTAGCTCACAGCAACCTCAAACTCCTGGGCTCAAGCAATCCTGCTGCCTCAGCCTCCTGAGTAGCTGGGACTACAAGCATGCACACCATGCCTGGCTAATTTTTTTCTATATATATTAGTTGGCCAATTAATTTCTATTTATAGTAGAGACGGGGTCGCCCTTGCTCAGGCTGGTTTCGAACTCCTGACCTCGAGCAATCCGCCTGCCTTGGCCTCCCAGAATGCTAGGATTACAGGCGTGAGCCCTGGCGGAAGCAACGGTATTTTGTGGAATGTCCCTCAACTAGGATTTATCTGACGTTTTTCTCCTGGTTAGAGTTGAGTTAGAGTTTCTCCACATCATATCAAGGGTAAATGTGGTACGGACACCATGTCTAGTAACTGTTGACGTTAAGCTTGATCACCTGGCTGAGGCAGGCCTGTGAGGTGCTCCCACTGCTGGGTTCCTTGCCTCCCTTTTAGGCACTGCTAGAGCCCCTCCGTGGGGAGATTTATCCCTTCTCCCCGTTTATTTATATCAGTTCGGACGCTGGTATATGTTATACTCTAGGTTATAACTTAATCCTGTGCAGTTAATTTTGCTCCTCAGATTGTCGCAGGTTTGGCCGTTGTGTGCTTTCAGGCCGGTCCGTGTCCTCTGACGGGCCGGTTCTTCCCTGCGTCCGCGCTCGCTGACCTCTGGCTCACGCGGCGCCGCAGGCCGGCTCACCGTTTCTCTAAGGAGCCCGGCCCTTTTCTTAGAAAAGGCCCGGGCTCACAGGGTCGGAGCTCACAGCGCCATCGCAGTGGAAGGGGAAGCCTGGGCTCGGGAAGAGGGACAGCCTCCCGCCCCCGCGCCCCTGCCGTGGAGACCGCCCCTCGCCCCTCGCCGCCCGCGCCCCTGCCTAGGCCACCGCCGCCCGCCTCCGCGCCAGTTTCCCCGCAGGCTCCGTGCCCGCGCATGCGCGCCGCGCGTGACGTCAGGGCGGTGGCCAGGTCGCCCTGCGAGTGGCGGTAGCGGCCCAGGAGCCTGAGCTGCGTCCTCTTCCTCTCCTCCTGGTTCGCGTGCGGCTGCCCGCCCGAGCGTTCTCAGGTGAATGTCCCCATCCGGTGCGGGCGGCCTCGGGCCCGCGCCCCGCCAGAAACTCCCCAGCCCTGCCGAGCTCGCCGCTGCCCAGCCTCGCGCTCCCCCAGCCCCAGCGTCCACTAGCTCGCCTCCGCTCTTCCCCGGGTCCCCGCCCTGGCCTCCCTAGCCTCGCCCTGCGGGAGCCCTCGGCGTGGACGCGCCCCCGCGCCCCCTCTGCCGGGGCCGTCCAGCCCGAGCCCCGCCGCTGCGGCCCAGCCCTGCTCCCGCCCGGCCGCCCGTCAGTGCTCCCCGCGCCCGACCGCGGGACCGCTGCGGCCTCCTTTCCGCGGTCTCCCCGGGTGTTGGCGCGGGCTCTCCACCCCGCCGCCTCCTGCGCCCAGGGGCCGGGCTCTGTGTCCTCCCTGGGGGCCGCGCGGAGTCCGGGATGGCTCTGAAGCCTCGCCCTGTGGCATTTCTTCTGCATTTGTCTGGCAGTGTCCTCGGTTGTAGGTGCTTGGTGTATCCTCCTTTATCTTTTTTGCGTTTGATTCTGTTACTCAACTAGGTTGAGAACTCCGGAGTTCAGGGATTTTTCTTTGGCGTCAGCTTAGGCTGTTTTTTTCCGTTAAACTTCAAATGTAGAGCAGCTTACATAGAAGAGGCTTCATAAATAGTCAATGCTCGGTGTCTCAGGGTGAGTGGAGGAAAGAAATAAGGTGGGACAGTCACGTTGTCAAAAAATCTAGGGAAACACTAGTAATTAAAAACGACACTGACTCTTGGTCCTAGAGAATCTTTCACTTTTTTTGCGTGCCTGGAAAAGGGAGGAGCGCTAACAGCTAAGGGAGGAATATTCCGTGGTTTTCTGTGGCCTGTTAGAGAAGCATTGCCAGTGCAGGAAGTGACTTGTCTGAAGTCACATGGGGAATTAGGATCTGAGCTGGACTGTTAACTGCCTGTTTACTTATGGTCCTCAATATTTGTGGAGCAAATTAATGACCAGAAACATCTGTCCGTGTGCCTGTGTCATGGGTGTATCTCCCCAGTGGCCATGGGCGCATGGGAGTTGTGCTGTGACTAATGTCGCTGTGGTGTTCAGGGGCGTTCCCTGGGCTGGTTTGCTGGATATTGATTGATAGGACTGGGGCTTGGGAAGAGACCCTCTCTGGCTGGGCAGAGGCTTTCTGGGTTTCCCTTGTGTTTGGTGTTTGCTTTGTGTGGTAGTGATCTCTTTACCTCACTCTTCTCCCTTCCAAACTGATCTCCCTGAGGGTGGGAATCAAACGTGTTTTGCAGAGTCTCCCTGGCAGACAACACAGTGTTAAGCTCTTTGTCGGTGATCTGTAAATGCTTACTGAAGGAGGCGGCAGCAGAGAACTCAGAACCTGACAGCAGTTCTTTACTAGCATTGTATTTTAAGGATGTTAGCACATCTGTAAGTAAATTTCCTGCTGATCTGAAGGACAGTGAGTTTATGAAATATCATTCCTGCAGTAATGTTATTCTTTGGGAAGAGAAGATTTTTCTCAACTCCTTCTGAAAACTTTGCTACACTTCTCAGCTTGCATTAATATTTTTTTCGTCTTTTCCTCTGCCTTCTGTCTTACTGGATGTCTAAATAGAGAATTAATTTATTAGTGTCAATAGCTACCAAAAACTGCAAACACTAAACTGTTAAAAATGTTACAAAAAGGGGCCAGTTGAACCAGTCTTGTTTTCTTGGTTGTGTATTTGCTTCCAAAGTTGATCATGGAAATGGGAAATTGGACTTTCCTATCTCTTTTCCTTCTTAACCCCTTAGGTTTATTATTAAAAACCAGCTGTAAGTGGCCAACACCACATGTGAACTGATCTCTAATGCTGACGGGTCACTCAGCCCTTCTGTCACTTCTGTTGTTTTGGTCTATACCTGGGACTTCTCTTTGTCCTTTACTGTCTTTGAGAAATAGGGACAAATTTTCCTCCTTTTCATAAGGAAGCCACCTTTACAGATAAAAGAACACTAAATGGAGGAACTGGGATATCAGGAAGAGTTAGTTGTGAACAGTTAACCCTGAATTCCAGCTCTTGCAACAAAATAGGCCGGGCACGGTGGCTCACGCCTGTAATCCTAGCTCTCTGGGAGGCCGAGGCGGGCGGATTGCTCGAGGTCAGGAGTTCGAAACCAGCCTGAGCAAGAGCGAGACCCCGTCTCTACTATAAATAGAAAGAAATTAATTGGCCAACTAATATATATATACAAAAAAATTAGCCGGGCATGGTGGCGAATGCCTGTAGTCCCAGCTACTTGGGAGGCTGAGGCAGGAGGATCGCTTAAGCCCAGGAGTTTGAGGTTGCTGTGAGCTAGACTGACGCCACGGCACTCACTCTAGCCTGGGCAATAAAGTGAGACTCTGTCTCAAAAAAAAAAAACCAATCAAACAAACAAAATAGTAATGTAATTATAGCAGTTCTCACCTTTGGACTATCTGCTACAGGGCTGTTTAGACTTCTCATTTAATTCTCATAGTAACCCCATGAGGTAACTAGTTGTGTCTTTAAGAAAACCGAGGCTTGGAGAGTTTTAGTATCTTGCCCAAAGTCGTATCAGTGAATAGAAGGCAAAGCGGGCTTCAGGCTCAGAGCTGTCAGATTCTAAAGGCAGTGTTTTCCTTCCATCTGTTGTCTGTTTGGATTCAATGCTTTTAAAATGACTTGAATTTAAAATAATTTGAATTGTTGAATATGGTTTATATTTTAAAACTTTCTGTAGGTTTTATTTACATGGAAGTGATGTGGTTATTTTGCGGATATAAATAGTGAAGTGGGCCGGGCACGGTGGCTCACGCCTGTAATCCTAGCACTCTGGGAGGCTGGGTGGGGCGGATTGCTCAAGGTCAGGAGTTCAAAACCAGCCTGAGCAAGAGTGAGACTCCATCTCTACTATAAATAGAAAGAAATTAATTAGCCAACTTAAAAAAATATATATATGTGTGTGTATGTATATATATATATGTGTGTATATATATATATATATATATATATATATATATATATATAAATGAGCCGGGCATGGTGGCACATACCTGTAGTTGCAGCTACTCGGGAGGCTGAGGCAGAAGGATTGCTTGAGCCCCAGGAGTTTGAGGTTGCTGTGAGTGAGGCTGACGCCACGGCACTCTAGCCCAGGCAACAGAGTGAGACTCTGGAAGTGTTGAAATAAGTTATGGAGTAGTGTGGAATTCAGCAAACTAAGGTAAAGTCAGAGACTAGTTTGATTATGTATTCTGGGAGTTTTTTTATTTTTGTTTTTTTTCTCTCTAGGGAATGTTCAAATTTTGATCCTCAAGGGCATTTTAACTTCTTAAGTCTTCTAAGCCATTTGAGAAGCAGCCTAATGTCCTTGTTTCTGTAGAATGTTTCTGGCAAATTTTGGTCAGAGAGATGGTGAATAAATAGTAATGATAGTAGTAGTAGTAGTAATATTGCTGTGGAAGCTGATACCATGTATTGAATTTTAGTGCCTATCAGGTACCATGCCAAACGTATTATCGCACCCCATTTTCCAAACATCAAGTAGGTGGCAGGATTCCTGTTTTATAGATCAGAAAACTAAGGCTTAAAGAAGGTAAATAACTTGCCCAAGGTAATTTATAACTGATTAAGTCAGGAGTTGAGCACAGGTCTTTTGACTCCAAAGCCTATACACATAAACATGAGGCTTTATGAATTTTTTAAAGTATATGATTAAAATCACACTTTATGATTTTTGGTTGCTAAAAGATACTCTCTCAGTTCCTCCCCCTAATTTAAAGACAAAAGCAAAGAACTATCAGAAGGAAGGTTCAAGTAGGTAGATTTCATCTAGGTGTTTTTTTATTTTGATCTATTTGAAGATAATTTAAATTTTGCTTGCATATTTACATTTATCAAAAATATACATGTACATGGATTGAAAAGCCAAACAGTACTTTATTATTTTTTTATTTCTCTAAGCATTTATTTTACATTATGAGGTTTGATTTTCTATGAAAAGGAAATGTCTTCTTATCTAATTTCCTTTAGAAATACTTAACTATGTTCTACACTTCTCAGCAATGTATTTTTAACATGAAATTTAAATATGAAGCTATTCTCTAATTCATTCATTTTCAGGATGCCAGTTGAGAGAAAAATGTCTACACTTCCAGGACTTTTTTTTTTTTTTGAGACAGAGTCTTACTTTGTTGCCCAGGCTAGAGTGAGTGCCATGGCGTCAGCCTAGCTCACAGCAACCTCAATCTCCTGGGCTCAAGAAACCCTCCTGCCTCAGCCTCCCAAGTAGCTGGGATTACAGGCATGCACCACCATGCCTGGTTACTTTTTTCTATTGTGGATGGAAAAATCCAAGCCCTGAAATATTTGAAAGAAGTTCAAGTTTCAAATATTTGAAAGAAGTTCGGAGCCAAATTTGAGGACCATGACCCAGAGCCACTCTCAAGAAGCCTTGAGCAAGTGGGCTCACTGTGGCTGGGTTACAGTTCAGTTTTATACATTTTCAGAGAGACAAGGGTTACAGGCAAAGTCACAAATCAATACATGAGAGGCATACATTGATTTGGCCCAAAAAGGTGGGACATCTCGAAGCGGGGGGTGGGGGGTGGCTTACAGGTTATAGGTGGGTTTAAAGATTCTTTGGCTGGCAATTGGCTGAGAGAGTTAGACTTTATCTAGAAGACCAGACAGGATATGCTTATTTTAAGATAAGGGTGTGAGCACTCTGGGAGGTCCAGACTAGAGGACATTTTAAATTTACAATAGGCACCTGCTAGGGTGTTTTAAGATGCTTTAAATTTTAAGAATAGGCATCTGCTGGGATGCTTGAGTTAAGACATTTTAAATTTATAATAGGCATCTGCTAGGATGCTTGAGTTAAGATAGGGGCTTCTTATCTTGTAGGTGATGTTAATGCCATACTGGAATCTGGTTGGGAAGTTAACCACTGCTTCATTTGGTTAACAAAAGCCGCTTAGTGGGAATTTATCGTTTGTCTGCCAGACCCAGCTGGCCTCCTTAGGAAGGAGTTTTTAGCAAAAGAAAAAAAAAAATCAGAGTTCAGCCCCCACACATTCAGTCACAGAAGTCTTCTGTGTTGATTGTTGTAGTGTGAGAGTGGAGGAAAATTAGTTTTTTCCTTTCACACAGCTGTGCTTGCTATGTATTCCTATTTAAGAGAGAATTATATTAAAAAGCTGATTGAAAGTCTGTGTGTTTATTTAATGTTTATCATCTGGTGAGCTTCCCTGTAGAGAATGAAGCAAAGATTGACTTTTTAATTAAAGAACCCCAATTGTCACTATCGGTGAGCCTTTCCCCTTGGACCGTGCCCCTTGCCCAGAACTAGAGTCTGGGAGGTGAGTAAAGGAAGAGGACTGGGAGTTTAAGACTTTCACATACTAAGTTCCTCTTATAAGTGTGGCATTTCCTTTGTCTGCGCTCTGCCGGTTGTGGCCACGTGCAGAGCTTCCTCGAGATCTGCCCTCTCGGGGCTGCCCCCGTGGTGTCTCTGCCGTGTGACTGAGTACCCCAGCCTCAGTCCCCCTGGAAGAGTCCCTGTGGCTGACCATACTGTCTGATCTAGGTGAAGGTCCCACAAGGTGGTTTCTTCCGACTTTTTTGGAGACTCACATGTTAAGTGCCTGCCCAGCAAGTGCAAGTGACCAAACTATATATTATTCCTTGGTGTGTGAATCCACAGTTTCCTTGAATAATTTCTCCCTGGCAGCTTCAGTTTAGACTGGCTTGAAGCCTGTTCCTACAGTCTTCCCTGCTACTCAGGTTTCAGTACACTTGAACCCTCAACTCCTAAGTCTAGTCTTTTTGTCTTAAAAAGGAAATTCTGACATCTTAGTAAGTGCTACAAATATCCTTTACTATTAACACAACTATTTGAATTTTTCAGTGAGGGGATGGTATAATTATCAAAATGTTTCAACTTTTTAAAACCCATCCCCCTGCTCTCAAGTGTGTAAAATTGAACCCACTTAGTAAGATATGTCTTTTCTCTAACACATTGCATAGCAGGGTATCCTGTTTTAATGGTTTTATACTGAAGCTGCCTTTTAGCCTTATTTTTAATGAACTGTAATTATTACTTTGACTTTGACACGCACATCACAGTTTGGCCATTAGAAGCCCTTTCTTCAGCTGGTTATCTTCTTTATCCTTTCTAAAGGCACTCTCAAAAGTATCTTTGCTTTTTGACAATAAGACGTCTTAGATACAACTTGAGGTAGCCTGCCCCTAAATTGTAACCAGCTCATTTTCAAGGAAACTGGCTCTTTTTAGAGGAAACTGGTGTTAGAGATAAAAATCTCTGGCATTGGGAGATATATGAGATTGTTCTACATAATGACTAAAGGCAGACAGATGATACAAGATAAGTTACTTGAGTCAGCAGAACAATTACCCTCTTTCAAAGAATCATGAATTTCTGTTGCTAATTCCAGTTTAAAGTTCTTTTCTGTTTTGTAATCTGATTTTCCTTTTCTCTGATTGTTTTGAACTATTTCATATTGGCACATTAAAGATATGTTTACAATGTCCTCTAGATGTAGAAGTTTCTAATTTTTTTTTCTTTCCTTTTCTTTTTTTGAGACAGGGTCTCACTCTGTTCCCAGACTGGGGTGAAGTGGTGTACTGTGACCTCAAACTCCTGGGCTCAAGTAGTCCTCCCACCTCAGCCTCCTACATAGCTGGGACTATAGGTACATGGCCTCAATCTGGTTATGTTGCCCAGGCTAGGCTCGAACTCCTAGACTCAAGTGGTCCTTCTGCCTCGGCCTTCCAAAGTGCTGGGAATTACAGGCCTGAGCCACTGTGCCTGGCTTAAAACTCTGTTTTAATTCTTTATCTTCATGGGTGCTAGTGGCAGTATGTTAATCTTACAGGCATGTATGATTGTTGGGCACAGATTATTAAAAGCCTTTGAATAAGGGAAGTTGTTCTTAATCTCAATATTACGCTGGTCTGACATTTTGACTATTAAGAATGGTAGCAAATGTAGCTAAATTAATATCAAGAACCATTGGAGATTTGAAGAAATTCACCACAGAAGTTCAGGAGTTGTCTTTCTGTTGCTCCATATTTTTATATTATTCATTGGGCTCATAAGGTACCAACAAAGTTGCAACACTTCAGTCCAGTTTTATTTTTGTATTGTAACTAGCTCCCACTATTTTTCCAAGTAATTTTTAGTCTATTTCCAGATTTTTTTTTCTGTATGAAATGCAAACTGAGAATTCATGTCATGGACATGGGAAGCTGTAGTTTAAGTGTCCAGGCTATGGCATGAACGGGTGCATGCTCTACTCTCCCAGCCCTGTGTTCTGGAGTGGCAACACCACTGCAGAGCTGTGATGCTGTCTGCGACATTCTGGCCTGTATTTTTAAATTTTAGTTTCACCTGACCTGAAAGCAGCACTTTGGCTTGGTCACTGCTGCATCCTTAGTGTCTGGGACAAGGTTGGGCACCCATTAGGTGCTCCAAGAATATTTGCGGAATGAAAATATGATGGTATTATTTCTCTGCCGCAAATCCTTTTGGAAATAAATGATTGTTTTAGGATATTTTTGGCTGTAAGTTGCAGGAAACCAAATTCAACCTAGCTTAAGTGATAAAGCTATCATTTTGCTTAGCAGAAAGCCTTGGGTTAGGGTGGGTTTGGGGGTTAGTTGAATCAGTGGCTCAGCAGGGTGAGCTCTGCTATCTAGGGCTGCCTCAGGCTAGTCCCTCATGGTCAGAAGGTGTGCTTCTCTGTTCACATCCGCTGGGAGAGAGGAGAGTGGCTTTCTGGCTTTCATTTGCCAGGGATTGTATGTTCAAGAACCTAAATGTGGGAGAGAAAGATTGGGGAAAGATGAAAAATGTATTTTCTTTCTTGGTGAGGACAGTCAGCATAAACTGGCAAAAATTGCAAGAACAAGAACCTTCAAAGTACATGATTTAGGAGATGCTGGAGTGTAAGACAATAGAGGCTTGTAGAACTCCTTGTCTAAGAGTTTGGAGAACCGAGAGAATTCAGCCATGCTTGGACCTGGGGAAAGAGGTATCTGAGGGAGAAGCATTTGCTCCTCTGAAGGGCCCACTTGGGCTTCAGCTTTGTTTTGCTAACTCTCTACGCTGTCCGAATGCCTTCAAGAAATACCTAAAAAAGCTAAAGTAGAAAGCAAAAGTGACCCATAAATCTCAGCTTCCAGATAATATCTGTTGATTTCAAGGATTAAATGAAAATGATGCATGGAGATTATTAAAACTAATTCAGGCCGGGCGTGGTGGCTCATGCCTGTAATCCTAGCACTCTGGGAGGTCAAGGCGGGCAGATTGCTCGAGGTCAGGAGTTCAAAACCAGCCTGAGCAAGAGCGAGACCCCGTCTCTACTATAAATAGAAAGAAATTAATTGGCCAACTAATATATATAGAAAAGATTAGCCGGGCATGGTGGCGCATGCCTATAGTCCCAGCTACTCGGGAGGCTGAGGCAGAAGGATTGCTTGAGCCCAGGAGTTTGAGGTTGCTGTGAGCTAGGCTGACTCTACGGCACTCACTCTAGCCTGGGCAACAAAGTGAGACTCTGTCTCAAAAAAAAAGACTAATTCAAACAATACCGGAAGGTGTAAGAGGACTGTCACCTTTTGTTCTGCCACACACACAGCATCACCTCATTCTGCTCGCTGGAGATGCACATGGTTCACAGGTTCTGGGACTCCTTCCATCAGACAGCTGCAGGTGTTGGTGCGTGTGCTGCTGCTCTTTCTCGATCTTCTAAGTCTGCATGGCGGCCGTCGCATGTGGGGTGCTCACTCAGCAGGCTTTTGCTGTGTGGCGCGTTGGCTGTGGTTTGTTTTTGAGGTTTAAACAACATCACAGTGAATATCTTTCTACACATATGTTGGTGAACTCTACACAGATGGTCAGGAAAGCACATTCTTAGTAATGGTGATATTGCCAGGTGAAAGTATCTGAACTTTGAAAGTTTTGGTAGGTTTTGTCAAATTCCCTTTCAGTGAGGTTGCAATGATTTCTTTATTGCTATCACGCTTTCTCCTTGCTGCTGATGTCATGGAGTTTTTCATTTGTGCCCGTCTTATAGGTAAAATTGTTGACTTCACATTTTGATTTTTATCTGTTGAATTGAGAAAGGAACTGAGTATCTTAGGAGTTTGTTGGCCATTTGTGTTTCTTTTTCTGTGAACCACCAAATGATTGCCTTTTCTTTATGATATATGTAAGCTCTGTAAATGAAGGAAATAGGTTCATTGCCACTATATGTTGTAAATGTTTCTTCTAATTTGTCACTGCCCTTTTTGACTTTTGTCCATACAGAAGATTTTTATTCTTATGGAGTTAAATTTATCATCCTTTTTCTCAGTGACTTCTGGTTTTCTGCCCTGACCTGGCCACTCTGCCAGCTGCTACCAGCGCAGCGCACTGGGCCACATAGACTCCACTGGGTGTGATAGGTGTAAAGCTGTGGCAGCGGGCCCAGAGCTTCAGGACGCTGGCATGCTATGAGAAGCCCCAGGTGCCCGAGAGAGCTAGATCTTAGTGTGCTAGGGCTGCTTCGTGTCTGTTGACCAGAGTTAGACTCAGTATGGTGGGCAGGGTGGTGAGGCCGAAGCCTAGAGTGTGGGGGGAGGGGTGGCATGGACCGCACTGAAGAGGTATTGGGTAAATGCCAGGTGGCGGGCGAGGTGAATTGGCTTTGGGCCCTTCCTCAGCTGACACTGAAGGGGATTAGGATTGAGACTTAGACTAGGTGGACTGTTCTCTTTCTGGGTGTGATTTTGAACCTGCCTGTTCTTGTTTTGTAGGTGAAGAGATGGCATTTGTGAAGAGTGGATGGTTGCTGCGACAGAGTGAGTACGGGACCCAGGCTGGTGACCAGCATTGCTTTAGAGCATATCTTTATTTCTGTTTGATAAAACAGATCACCTTTAAAAATAAGCAGTAAAATCTTATTATCAATGTTGTTGCTCTAAATTTCCTCTTGGAAGTTTTTAGAGTTGGTGAACTGTCTTTCTGCACACACGGAGCTCCGCCTTGGTTGCCAGGTGGACAGAAACCAGGAAATGATGCAGCCCTTGCTGATTTCTCTTGCTTCACTAGCTGCTTTATTACTCATGGCTGACCTGAGATTTCCTGAATCTAATCACACCCAGCTGGTATGTTGGCAGGGAGGCGCTGATTCTTTGCCTGTCTCATTTGGGGATTCAGCAGTGACTCAGATTCTGAAATACTAGAGTCTTTGTAATTATGTGGATGAGGACTTGACTAGAGGGAATGAACTTATTTAAAACCAGAACTTTTGTATCTCCAAAAGGACTCAATTCTTTATTCCTGGGATTGAGATATGCTTTCCTAGGCTTCTGTCTGTGGGCCTGTCTTTCGTACACTGTCTACTTGTCTCTGAGGCTGCCACTCCAAGTGGGATCGTAGTGTGTTTAGAAGCAGGAAGAACCAGCTCTATTTATTAAAGAAGGAGTAAGCAGATAATTGCGCTGACCTTCAAAAAGAATAGAGTTAAGGGAAAAGTGACTATTACAGTATTTATGACTCCAGTGAAAAACTGATCAAATAATGTTTATTGGTCAGAGACATGAATTTATGTTTGAGAGATACCTTCAGAAGTTAACTAAAGTTGAGTATAGCAGTGAAGAATCAACTGCATACCTTGGATGGTTTATAAAAACTATTGTTTATGAAGCTTGTTTGTGTTCCTGTTATAAAGATTTTATATATATATTCTTTTTTTTTTTTTTTTAAGACAGAGTCTCACTCTGTTGCCCAGGCTAGAGTGCCGTGGCGTCAGCCTAGCTCACAGCAACCTCAAACTCCTGGGCTCAGCAATCCTCCTGCCTCAGCCTCCCTAGTAGCTGGGACTATAGGCATGCGCCACTATGCCCAGCTATTTTTTTCTATTTTTGGTAGAGATGGGGTCTCGCTCTTGTTCAGGCTGGTTTCAAACTCCTGAGCTCAAACAGTCCACCTGCCTCAGCCTCCCACAGTGCTAGGATTATAGGCGTGAGTCACTGTGCCCAGCCTGTAGCCAGAGCTTTGATTGTGGGTGAGATATTTGGGTAGAACTCCCTGACCTGGTGATTCCACCTGTCTATGTGTGGCTGTTTGGTAGTTTCTGTATAGCTCAGGTGCTGCCAAGCAAATGGATGCTGGCTGTCACCTATGGATCAGTTTGGGCAAGTGCTATGTATGCCCTTCCAGGTAAGGAGGATACCTGACACTGTTAGGAAGGCTGGACGTCCCATACTTGGTTGACACCAGTAGCAGGCATGGGAGCGTAAAGGGAAGTATGTGGAATGGGGTTTGTGCATGTTGATCAAGAACAGGATAGGATGTGCAGGAACAAAAGGTGCAGTGGGCAGCATAGGGTGTAAGGAAGGTGCAGGGTGACCTGGAGCTAACATGGTCTCTTATTCTACTGCAGGGGTTTTCCCTTCTGGCAGACAAGGAAATTACAGCTTCATTAAGTTAAATGCCTGGTCTAAGATTACAAATGAAGGGATGAATTCTCTCAAACTAACAGAAATGTGTGAGGTGGTAGAATATGCACAGGGTAGGAGTTGAGGCCCTGGGCCTGGGTCCAGTGTCTGAGACTGTCTCTGTACCTGCATCAGGAAGGGAGACCCCTCTCACACGGGGCTTTCTGTGAGGGGAAATGTTAGGAAAGAGTATATGTGAAAGCTTTTAAGAAAAGAGAAAACTCTAATATTTTTCTAAAGAGGAAGGTGGTATTTTTATTTGCATATAGAGACTTTATAGTTCAGCATTTCTTTCTTTCTTTTTTTTTTTTTTGAGACAGAGTCTCACTTTGTTGCCTAGACTAGAGTGCTGTCTAGTCAGCCTCGCTCACAGCAACCTCAAACTCCTGGGCTCAAGTGATCCTCCTGCCTCAGTCTCTTGAGTAGCTGGGACTATAGGTGTGAGCCACCATGCCTGGCTAAATTTTTGTTTCTATTTTTAGTTGCCCAGCTAATTTTTTTCTATTTTTGGTAGAGACGGGGTCTTGCTCTTGCTCAAGCTGGTCTCGAACTTCTGAGCTCAAAACAATCCACCCGCCTCGGCCTCCCAGAGTGCTAGGATTATAGGCATGAGCCACTGTGCCCAGCCAAGTCCACCATTTTCTGATAAATTTAGCAAATTTAGATATTGGGAAAGTTTTAAGTTTTAAACTTTAAAAGTTTAAAGTTTGGTTCTGTATGAAGAATTGCATGTTAGACATGTTTCATTTGCTAAAGAGCAAGGTGTTTTTTAAAAATCTAACTTTAAAAATAGGCTGGGCATGGTGGCTCATGCCTGTAATCCTAGCTCTTTGGGAGGCTGAGGTAGAATAAGTGCTTGAGGCCAGGAGTTCAAGACCAGCATGAGCAACATAGTGGGACCCTGTCTCCAGAAAAAATTTTAAAATGAGCTGGGCATGGTGGTGTGTGCTTGTAGTTCCAGCTACTCGGGAGGCTGAGGCAAGAGGATTGCTTGACTCCAGGAGTTTGAGGTTGCAGTGAGCTATGAAGATGCCACTGTACTCTTGCCCAGGCAACAGAGTGAAACACTGTCTCAAAAAGAAAAAGTACTGGGCCTTCTCAGTTTGCCGCCTTCACAGTGTTTGCGGTATGTGCTGGGTGTGGCGTTGTTGTGGCATAGGTGGTCAGGTCGTCGTGATTTGCTTTCACTTCATTTTGAACGGACTACTTTGGGTAATTCAGTGCAGTACCCTTACGTGGCCAGGGGAAAGTTTTGTTTCTGCTGTGAATGAGAGGTCAAAGTCCTTGCTCTTTTGGCTCAAAGCTAACCTCTCAGCCAGGTGCTATGGTGCACACTTGTAGTCCCAGCTTCTTACCTGAAGTCCCAGCTACTTGCAAGACAGAGGTGGGAGGATTGTTTGAGGCTGCAGTGCACTATAAAGTTGGGAAAAACCTCAGATTTATTTATCCTCAGCCTGTGAATAGTCACTGCATTCCAGACTAGGCAACGTAGCAAGACCCTGTCTCTTAAAAGATGGAATTGAGAGAAAAAACCCCCAATCTTTCCCATTTTTTTTTTCAGGTACTATTTTGAAGCGCTGGAAGAAGAATTGGTTTGACCTGTGGTTAGATGGTCACCTGATCTATTACGATGACCAGACTCGGCAGAGTATTGAGGATAAGGTCCACATGCCAGTGGACTGCATCAACATCCGCACAGGGCACGAATGTCGGGGTAAGCTGGCTTGTCTTAGCCAGTATCTGTCGTCTGCCCCCCGTGTCCCCATCCTTGGTGGAAGCTGGATCCTCTTCTCTGTTCTACTTTCATTAACAGACTGAAGAAGAGCTCTGTCTGGGAGGGCAGCCACAGTGGGGCTCCAGGCCCAAATGGTTGGAGCAAATACATTTTCCCCTCTGCATAATACCCACCAGCCCATGGTCCTTCCTCTCTTACGGAGAGGGAACTAGAGTGCTAGGAACCCCAGGAAGTATGGGTCCACATGAGACCATATGAAACTGTGATCTGCTTGATGGTGACTCCAGTTTCTTAAAATCTGTGATGTGGTTTTCTGGAGTTATTTCTTATATTCATTTTAAAGGAATAAATTTTGTGGAAGTCTTCTTGGCAGCTAGTCTTGCCAGTCAGCCGAGCTATATTCTTTCTGCCTTCTTGATCAGGCCAAGCGTTCTTTCTTGTATGTAGCACTTGATTTATTTTCTAGTCCTTTGCTTATCTGAGCTGTTAGGTCTTAGAATACGTAAGAAGAAATCCTAGAAAAAAGTCCTCTGTTCTGCTTATTTTTTATAGATATTCAGCCTCCAGATGGGAAGTCAAAAGATTGTATGCTGCAGATTGTTTGCCGAGATGGGAAAACTATCAGTCTTTGTGCAGAAAGCACAGATGATTGTTTGTAAGTTTCAGTTTCTTATGTGTTTAATTTAAACCTCATTTTCTCTTTTAACTTCTAATTATCAGGAAGGGAAAAGAATGGGATTGGAGTTTTCCTTCAGGCAGCAGAATAAGGGACTACTCAGTGCATGTGTGAGAGAAATGTAACAGGGCTTTTTCTGATTCTGGTTTCTGCCTCTCTGGGACTGCCTGGGCAGGTCCCTTCAGGCAGACAGTAATGGCAGGCTCTCCATGCTCTCTGTTTTCATTGTGAGATTCACACTGGGTAATGGGCATAGTTGAATGGTTCCTTAGATCTTATTCTTTTTTTGTAAATGTCTTTTTAAAAAGCATCCACATACAGCTTTTTCCTTTCTTGGGTGGTTGTTACTCAATCTGCCATCTCTGAGGAAGGGATGGGGAAAACCCAACTTTATTAATCCTCAGCCTGTTAACTTTGGCATTGATGTTGGATCAGAATCTTGAAAACACTGACTGAATAAAACTTGGGGAGAAGAATGGGTTTTTCTGTCTACTTTCTACCACTTCAGTGGGTTAACTCTGGATGTTGTGAGAATTCACTAATAGGTTACTGAAATATTCAAACATACATGACATTTTCACAAAATCCCACAGACCATTTTGTCAGTGCCTGCCCCACATTCACATCCATACTTATCCTCTGTGTAAGCATTATTCCATGCCAAACTCTAGGGTTTATTGTAAATCCCAGAAGTAGCTGCTTTTTTACACTCTTCTGATTTTTATCAGTGAATCTTAAATGGCACATTGTGGAAGAGGTGGGGCTTCACCACATATCTAGCTCATTTGCTACTCCTATCAACTGGAACTCTGTTATTACTGTTTAATAATTTAAATTAACATATTGAGCTAGCTGATTTACAGATATTGTGTGATCCCCACTATGTCTTATAAGATGGATGCTGTTGTTTTTCTTGTTATAAGAACTTGAGGCATAGAGAGGTTCAATAAGTTCGGTATTAGTTTTTAATGATCCTGTAATAAATTACCACAAGCTTAGTGGCTTCAAACAATATAAGTTTGTTTATTTGTTTGTTTTGAGACAGAGTCTTACTCTGTTGCCTGGGCTAGAGTGCTGTGGTGTCCTGCTCACAGCAATCTCAAACTCCTGGGCTCAAGCGATCCTCCTGTCTCAGCCTCCCGAGTAGCTGGGACTATAGGCATGTGCCACCATGCCCGCCTAAATTTTTCTTTATATTTTTAGTTGGCCAATTAATTGCTTTCTATTTTTTAGTAGAGACAGGGTCTCACTCAGGCTGGTTTCGAACTCCTGATCTTGAGCAGTCCATCTGCCTTGGCCTCCCAGAGTGCTAGGATTACAGGCGTGAGCCACTACACCCAGTCCAAACAATATAAGTGTATTACATTTCTGGAAGTTAGAAGTCCAGCCCAAGTCTCACTGGTCACAAGGTACCTACAGCACCATACTCCTTCTGGAGGTTCTAGGGAAAATCCATTTGCTTGCCTTTTCTAGCTGCTAGAGGCCCTCTGCATTCCTTCTGCATTCTGGGGCCCCTTGTCCATCCTCAAAGCTAACAAGAGTGGGCTGGGTCTTCTCACACTGCTTTCTGTGGTTCTCTGCAGCCAGGAAAGGTTTTATGCTTTTAAGGACTTGTAATTAGTTTGGCCTTCCTGGATATTCCAGGATAATCTCCCCATCTCAAGGTCCTTAACCTTAATTCTAGCTGCGGAGTCCCTTTTGCCATAGAAGATAACATATTCAGAAGGTCTGGGGTTTGGACTGTGAACATCTTTGGGGCTGTTATTCCATCTGCTGTGTTTCCTGAGGTACTAGAGCAAGTAGACAAGACTCAGGGTTTGAACCTGTCTCCAGAGCCCTTTGTCCTTTACTTCTCTGCTCTGCTGTGATGTGAGATGTCCCATGGATGGAACATTATTACTTTTTAAAGTAATAATGAAAAAAATACCTGGATCTAGAATTTTAGAGTATTTTAACAAAACATGGGAGATTTTCTTGTAGAAGAGGGAGAAATATGCTGAAGGGCTGGCCTTGTTTGTCTTAGAAGAACGAATGAGTGGGTCAGTTCTTAACCTAGGTGGGAAATTAGAGGTTGATATATGTGTTGAATTTTAAGGGCACAATAGAAATGGAGGTTAATACTTTTTTTTTACCTAGAAGAATAGGAAGAAACAGAAAATACTCTTCATGAAAAGAAAAAGAAGCAACAGGAAAACTTGATAGAGCACAACAGGAAGTGACTTGGGAGCAATTAGACTGAGAGTATTGGTGATCTCAGTAATGCGAATGGGTTAAATTCTGCTTGAAAACAGTAAGAGCTAAGATTGGGCAGATGTTAAGAAGAAAAGCACTTGAAATAAAATGACACAGAAAGATAAAGAAGTAAAGAAAGAATAGGAGATTGTAAGTTCTTAGGGCTGCTGTTATAAAATGCCACACACTGCGACAAGATGGACAGAAAGTCATTCTCTCACAGTCTGGAGGCTGGAAATCTGAGATCAGAGTGTTAGCAGGACTGTGCTTCCTCTGACACTCTGGGTGGAATCCTTCCTTGTCTAATCTTAGCTTTTGGTGGTGGCAGTAGTCCCTGGTATTCTTGGCTGGCACTGTATCCCTCCAGTCTCTGCCTCTGTTTCACACGGCCTTCTCCTTCGTGTCTGTGTCCAAGTTCCTCTCTTATTAAGGACCCACCTTAATTTAGTATGACCTTATCTTAATTTGGTATCATCTGCAAAGACCCCTATTTCCAAATATGGTCACATTCATAGGTACCAGGACTAGGACTTCATATCTTTTCAGGAGACAAAATTCAACCCATAGTAGAGAACTGTGAGTAAAGACGGTGAAATGAATCATACCATCTTCCCTAACTACCTAGTGCAATGAAGGGGAAAACATTTCAGTGACGACAGCTAAAAAAGGAGTTTGACTCTAAGCAAAAACTACAGTCAAAGAAAGAAAGAGATGATTCTGCTGAGATGTAGCACTGTTCTTAAACCCAGTCCAAATCTCAGAAACACTAACAAGATAAGTTAATTGAATCTTGCATATTTTCACTACTACCCTGCCACCTGGAGTGATGCTCATTAAGAGAGTAAGATGCTTTTTGGAAAAACTGAGGAAAAACCCTTGAATATGACTTCCTTGATACCTCAGCAGAGGCTGGAAGGCTCACCCAGGGCTTATCATTCCAGGGCACTGGGAGGCATTCAGGTGCACAGGAGTTGGATAAATCTCTGGCTGGTGAAGTGAGCCCTAGTAGGGGACAAAGAAATGTGCTCAGAAGAGAGTATAAGACCCAGATTTTAAGGAAAGGACTTAGTTGCAGAAGTTTTAAGGAAAGGACTTAGTTGCAGAATAAATTTCCTTCTCTCCACCCCATGCCCTTGGATTACAGAATAGTGACTGACGGTAACACCAAGTCATCAAACTGTTGCTGGGGTGGAGTGGGGTGGAGCTACTGGTTGATACCAGATGAAGTAGGAAGGGTGTCAAGGAGAAATAACTCATACCTTATCAGAGGAAATAGAAGTTAGATAATACTTCCCATATTAAACATGATATCTGTTCAAATATTACTATACAGGAAAAATAAGAAGAGGAAAATGCAAGCCTGAGGAAAAAACTCCTAGTCTGGAAGAAAATAAAACCTAAAACAGAAGCAGATTTTTCAAGAATGCTTTCCTAGCCACCATACGTCATATTTAAAATTGTATTACCACCTAAACACACTCACCATTCATCAACTATTTATTTTGTTTCTTTTCTCTCTTTATTAGAATATACATGCTGCTGCATGAACACAGGGATTTATGTTTCTTTTGTACCCTTTTATGTCTCTGTATCCTAGAAGTCCTGTTACTGTGAAGGGGGTACCATTCACATTATAATGTAATGTGAACGGCCCTCCCTGGCACACAACCGTAACTGAAAAGTGAGCCACTGGCATGGGGAAGAGACTGGAGATACTCAGTGAAAGCTGAGGAAAAAGATAAAAGAATTTGGAGAAAGAATCAGAGCTATGTTACAAAGACTAAAGAGTTTAGAAAGCTTATTGATGTCCAGAAAGAATAGAACCCAAAAAGAAATGTTTAGAAATTCAGTGCAAGAAAATGTTCTGAAATTAATAATAGAACGGAATTTGCAGATGAAGGGCCATACTGGACTGTTCTACCTTAAATGACAACAAAATCCATATATGGTATATGAATAGTCTAGTATGATACCCATTAGCAAAGTGGGTGACAACATGACTACATAGAACATCTGTTGGGGAATTTTGGAACTTAACTGAATTTGTTAGAAAACCAGAATATTTGAAAATGAATGAGCTAATCTTTTAACTCAAGGAGATATTAGTAGTAAAATGAGAATAAAACATAAAAGGAATTGTTAAAGATGAGAGAAGAGGGATAAGGTCAGTAAGAAAAGTGGGAGGTGTGGGAGGTGTGGGAGGGAAGGAGTGGACAAGAAACTACTTTTTGCCTATCAATTTAGAAAACTTGTGAGATTTAAAATGCAGATAACTATTTTTTGTGACCATTTAGGAGGAAGTTAATAGGTGTAGAGATTGTTAGACTCTTTGTAGGGCCATTTGGCAGTACCCAGTAAAATAAATTATATATCCCTTGACCTGGCAGTTTCACTCGTTGGAATTTGTCCTATGGAAATGTTTACATAGCATGCAAGGGGTAATAAGGATATTAGTAACAGCATTCTTTTTAATGGCAAAAAATTGCTGACAGTCTAATATTGTGGAACATTATGTAGTCCATTAAAAAAAAAAAAAAGAGGCCGGGCACAGTGGCTCACGCCTGTAATCCTAGCACTCTGGGAGGCCAAGGCGGGAGGATTGCTCAAGGTCAGGAGTTTGAAACCAGCCTGAGCAAGAGTGAGACCCCGTCTCTACTATAAATAGAAAGAAATTAATTGGCCAACTAATATATATAGAAAAAATCAGCTGGGCATGGTGGCGCATGCCTGTAGTCCCAGCTACTTGGGAGGCTGAGGCAGGAGGATCGCTTGAGCCCAGGATTTGGAGGTTGCTGTGAGCTAGGCTGACACCACTGCACTCACTTTAGCCTGGGCAACAGAGTGAGACTCTGTCTCAAAAAAAAAAAAAAAAAAAAAAAATTGGGGGGGGTGGGGAGAGTAGATCTGTGTGTTTGCCATGAACTGACAAAGCAAGTTATAGTACATTTCACATTTAGAAAAGATTATGTTTTAAATATTATATATCTACTAGATGTAATTTTTAAAAATATATATTTCTAATGCATGTTTCAAGTGAGTTGGTGGGGTGGGTTTTGGGGCAAAGCCCAAAGACTTGTTCTTTTGTTTTTTTTTTTTTTGAGACAGAGTCTCACTTCGTCGCCCGGCTAGAGTGAGTGCCGTGGTGTCAGCCTAGCTCACAGCAACCTCAAACTCCTGGGCTCAAGCAGTCCTTCTGCCTTAGCCTCCCAAGTAGTTGGGACTACAGGCATGTGCCACCGTACCCGGCTTATTTTTTCTATATATATTAGTTGGCCAATTAATTTCTTTCTATTTATAGTAGAGACGGGGTCTCGTTCTTGCTCAGGCTGGCCTCGAACTGCTGACCTCAAGCAATCCTCCTGCCTCGGCCTCCCAGAGTGCTAGGATTACAGGCGTGAGCCACCGCGCCAGGCCCAAAGACTTGTTCTTTAAACAATTCTTTTCAGGAATTCTGATGCCAACCTTAGTTTGAGAATCATTGAAATGTTGGAGTGCCTCAAATAATTTACCCTTTTTCTTTTCCCTAGGGCCTGGAAATTTACACTCCAGGATTCCAGGACAAACACAGTAAGTTGCTAATGGTGATCGTCAGTAATGTTTTCAAGTGGTCTTGTAACAATTGGAGAATAGGAGGTGAGGGAAGGGAAATGAGGAAGAGATGAGTTTCTTGGCCATCCAGTCACAAATGAGCAGGCAGAGCTCTGCAGGGCACCTTTTGCTGACAGTGAGCAAGCTAGGCTTAATAAACATTTTTGCAGGAGGAGCCCTCCTCACACAGACATGTTCATTCCAGTGTTGTTTTCTAGAAATCTTTGTTTTTCTCAAAGCTTTGCAACACTTTGAATTTTGCTGTGGTTTGCAGTGAAGGCTCCAAAAGAACCACGAGGTCTTTTTTGTGCATAGGATCTCAGCTTTGTAAAACAAACATTTCTGGACTTGTCTCTCATCCTGTTTCTGGCCTTAGGAGCTCACTGATACAGTGAACCCCATTTGTAGAGCCCAGTAAGTAATGCCATCTTTATATCTGTCAGGAATCAAGGCAGTGTTACCTCTGGTCACTGTTTTCATTCTTCAGATGGGACTTTATTTTCTCCTTTATCTGTGTAGGAAGGAAAGAAAAAAGTAGATCAAGCTTACAAAAGAATTTGTACATGTGGCAAAAGAAAGTAAAATAGCTTAATATCCAATGTCAGTGTTTCCTGTTGTTAGGCTAAGACATTTCTTCCTCCTAAGCTTACTCTATGTCTCCAGTTACCTTTTCTTTCATGAAAATCCTCTTTGGGTAAAATTAGTATTAATGGTCCCTGTAGTTAGAGGCAAGATCCCAAAATGATTCTTTGTATGGATTTTTAAAAAAATTTTTTTGGAGACGGTATCACTCTGTTGTATGGGCTAGAGTACAGTGGCGTCATCATAGCTCACTGCAACCTCAACTTTCCTAGACTCAAGTGATCTTCCTGCCTCAGCCTCCCAACTAGCTGGTACTACAGGCACACACCATGATGTCGGCTTATTTTTTTTCAATTTTTGTTTATAGAGATGGGGTCTCACTATGTTTGTTCAGGCTGGTCTAGAACTCCTGACCTCAAGTGATCTTCTCTCCTTGGCCTCCCAAAGTGCTAGGATTACAGGTGGGAGCCACCATGCCCTGCCTGTATGGATTTTTTTTTTCCTTAAAGAGCTCACATGTTTTTCTTTTCCACTGGGGAGCAATTTAATGAAGAATATTTTTTAAATATAAAAAACAGACTGTGTAGAACATCTCTCTGACTGCTGCATTTCAGATTGTAGTGTTTTTGTTTGTGAATAGAAAGATTGTTGAGAGTGGTGTTGGGTGACAACGGAGTGTCTGCAGGCCTTGCTGGGCTGTGAGAGCTCTACTCCTGCGGGGGGCTGAGCAAGGACCCCCTTGCTGCTGCATGCAGAGGACACCAGAATGGGGCTGGTCCCCGCTGTAGATAGTGACAGGAGTTTCTCCTGCTTCTCAGAGAGCTGTGACTTTTTGTCATTTAAACTCATATTTGCTAAATAAAAGGGATATGTGCACAGCATCATGGAGCATGTAGGTGTTGGCAGCTCCCTTGCTCTCATCCTCTCTCTCTCCCATAGGCGTACGTGGGCTCTGCAGCCATGACTGACGACACAGCTGTGGTTTCTTCCCCTCCGCCGTACACGGCATATGCCACACCCACCCCTGAGGTAGGGACACCCGAGTATCCATGTGAGCGAAGCTGGAGGCCTTCCTGCTGTGGTCCTGGTTTTTTTGTTTTTTCTTTTTTAAACCTTGAGCTAGTATTATAGATACTAGAAATGTACTCTAAACTTTTTCTTCTTTAAACAGATTATTCCTTATTGCCTTTTGCTTTCATGAAGTAAAGCAGTTACTTTGTATTTTTATTTATGTTCAGCACATTTTGTTTTTTAAGTAGACCTAAAAATGAATCATGTTAATGATAATTGCTGTGGGTAATGAGATTTTGATGACTTATAGCTTAAATATAATGAATTACTTGAATTATTATAATCAGGAAAAACTGGTATTTTTATTGTGGAGAAAAAAATAACCTTAAATCATATGTCAAATACCTGGGGTGTCCCCTGTCCTCAGGATGCTGACTGTCCACTGGTATATATGTTAGTCTCTGTCTTGTGGTGTACCCTCCTTTTTTGTTAACTGCTAATTTTGAAATAATTATAAATTCACAAGAAGTTATAAAGATGGTATAGTCAGTCTCATGTGCTTTTCACCTGGTTTCCCAGTTGTTAATGTTAGATCAAATCAAAACCAGGCATTTGGAATTGGTACATTGTTTACGTCTAATCCTATGTCATTTTATCACATATGTAGATTGTGTAACTGCTTCCTCAGTCAAGATGTAGAATTCTTCACAAAGTCTTCCTCCTGCCACACCTTGTTATAGTCACACCCTCCTTCCCCTTCGCTGACCTGTCAACCACCGATCTGTTCTCCAGCTCTGTAGTTCTGTCGTTTTAACAATGTGCATGGACCATGCAGCATATGATCTTTTGAGTTTGATGTTTTTCACTCAGCTTGATGCCCTTGAGATCTATCCAGGTTATTGTGTATACCAATAGTCTGTTCCTTTTTATTGGTTGAGTAGTGTTCCACGGCATGGATGTGACACATTTTGTGTTGAGGGAGATTTTGGTTGTTTCCAGCTTTTGGCTGTTGACAGTAAACCTAATATAAACACTTCTGTACAGGTTGTTGTGCAGACATAGGTTTCATTTACCTGGGATAAATGCCCAAGTGTGTAATTTCTGTGTCAGATGTATGGTGAATACATGTTAGTTTTTAAAGAAAAACTTGGACAAACTACTTTACAGGTACTCTAACATTTTACTTCCCCACCAGTAATATATGAGTAATCCAGTTCTCTACATCTTCACCAGCAGTTGATGTTGCTCTTTTTCAATATAGCTGTTCTAATATGTGTAGTGATTTTCTGAGTGTGGTCTTAATTTCCTTAGCCCTAATAGCTAGTGATGTTGACCATCTTTTCATGTGTTTATTTGTTATCTCTGTCTTCAGTGAAATGTCTCTTCATGTCTTTTGCCCATTTTTCTAATTGTCTTGTTATTTTTTTAATATCGAAGTTTTTGCGTTCTTATATATAACATGTTCAGGATATGAAGTTTTTTGTAGATACAGGTTGGGACCAGAAGTGTTTTGGATTTTGGATTTTTTAAAACTTTGGAGTATTTGCATATATGTAATGAGATATCTTGGGGACCTAAGTCTAAACACAAAATTATTTATGTTTCATATATAACTTATAAACCTAGTGAAGGTGATTTTATACAATATTTTTAACAGTTTTGTGTATGAAGCAAAGTTTATGTATATCGAACCACCAGAAAGCAAAGGTCACTATCTTAGCACTTAAAAGTTGCATATTTTGAGGCGTTTTGGATTTTCAAATTAGGGATGCTCAGCCTGTGTGTAGTCTATAGCTCGTCTTTTTAGCCGCCTAACAAGGCCTTTTTTTTTTTTTTTTTTTTTTTGAGACAGAGTCTCACTCTGTTGCCCAGGCTAGAGTGAGTGCCGTGGCGTCAGCATAGCTCACAGCACCCTCAAACTCCTGGGCTCAAGCGATCCTCCTGCCTCAGCCTCCCAAGTAGCTGGGACTACAGGCATGCGCCACCATGCCCAGCTGATTTTTTCTATATATATTAGTTGGCCAATTAATTTCTTTCTATTTATAGTAGAGACGAGGTCTCACTCTTGTTCAGGCTGGTTTCGAACTCCTGACCTCAAGCAACCTGCCCGCCTTGGCATCCCAGAATGCTAGGATTACAGGCGTGAGCCACCGTGCCCGGCCTGGTAGATACTCTTTATCAAGTTGGGGAAATTCCCTCCTTTTCTAGTTTGTGAGAGTTTTTTTCATGAGTGGGTGTTAGATTTTTTAAAATACTTTTTCTGTATTAATGTGATCATGTGATTTTTTAAAAGCCTGCTGATAGTGGATTATATTGATTAATTTTCAGATATTGAACCAGCCTTTCATTCCCTGGATAAACCCAAGTTGGTCATGGTGTATAATTATTCTTTTTGTGTTTTGCTTAATTCTTCTTTTTTTTTTTTGGAGACAGGGTTTCACTCTGTTCCCATGTGGTCCAGGCTAGAGTACAGTGGTGTCATCCGTAGCTCACTGCAACCTTAAACTATCAAACTCCTCGGCTCAAGCGATCTTCCTGCCTCAGGCTTCCAAGTAGCCATACCTGGCTGTTTTTTCTTTTTTCTGTTTTTTCAGACAGGGTTTTGCTCTATCTCCTGGACTAGAGTGCAGTGGCGTTATTGAGGTTCACTGCAACCTCAAACTTCTGGGCTCAAAGCTATCCTCCTGCCTCAGCCTCCCAAGTAGCTGGGACTACTACAGGCATGAGCCATGTGTGCCTGGCCTATGTTGCTGATTTCTATTTGCTGATACTTGTTAAGAATTTTTTCGTCTATAGTCACAAGGGATATTAGTTGGTAGGTTTCTTTCTTTGTACTTTCTTTGTCTTATTTTGATATCAGGGTAATACTGGCTTTATAAGATGAGTTGGAAAGTGTTTTCTGCTCTTCTGTTTTCTGGAAGAAATTGTGTAGAATTTGTGTTAATTCTTCTTTAAACATTTGCTAGAAATCTCTAGCAATCTCTATTAATATCTGGGCCTGGGGATTTCTAATTGCAAATTCAATTTTCTTTTCTTTTCCTTTCTCTTCTCCTCTCCTCTTCTCTCTTTTCCTTTCCCCTGCCCTCCCATCCCCTCCCCTCCTCTTTCCTCCCCTCCCCTCCCCTCCTCTCCCCCGTCCAACAGACATATTTTCTCACAGTTCTGGAGGCCGGAAGTTCAAGATCCATGGTGCCTGCAGTATTGGTTTCTTGGAGGCCTTTCTCCTGGGCTTAGATACAGTCTCCTCACTGTGCCCTCACATGGCCTGTCCTCTATGCCTGCCACAACTTTAGTTTTCTTAATAGTTACAGGATTACTCAAATTCTCTATTTCGTTGAGTAGGTTGTAGTAATTCGTACTTTTGAGGAATTGGTCCTTTTTACATAAGTTGTCTCATTTATGTATGTGGAGTTTTTCATAGTTTTCTTATTATCCTTGTGATGTCTACGGAGTCTATAGTAATCTATCCTCATTGCATTCATTCTTGATATTAGCAATTTGTGTTGTATTTTTTTTAACAGCTTACTAGAAGTTTGCCAGTTTTTATTAATCTTTTCAAAGAATCAACTTTTTGTTTTACTTACTTTTTCTATCAGTTTCATTGATTTTGTTTTTATTTATTTTTGAGTCTCACTCTGTTGCCTAGGCTAGAGTGCTGTGGCATCAGCCTAGCTTGCAGCAACCTCAAACTCCTGGGCTCAAGCAATCCTCCTGCCTCAGCCTCCCGAGTAGCTGGGACTACAGGCATGCGCCACCATGGCCAGCTAATTTTTTCTGTATATTTTAGTTGGCCAATTAATTTTTTTCTATTTTTAGTAGAGATGGGGGTCTCACTCTTGCTCAGGCTGGTTTCAAACTCCTGACCTTGAGCAATCCTCCCGCCTTGGCCTCCCAGAGTGCTAGGATTACAGGCGTGAGCTACTGTGCCCAGCCCTATTTTTGTCTTTATTTCCTTCCTTCTGCTTGTTTTGTGGTTACTTTGTCTTGTTTCCTGTTTGACATTCATTCAGCTTGAATATATAGGCTTAAGTATTTTGCTAAATTTGGGAAATTTGAATCCATTATTTTGTAAATTTCTTTTAGCCCCACCTTTATCTACTCTCCTTCTGGGACTCTGATGACACAAATGTAAGGTTTGCTGTTAGTCCCACGTGTTCCAGAGACACTTCATTGTTTTGCTTTGATCTGTTTTCTGTCTGTTATGTTCTAAATGGGCAGTTTCTACTCTCTGTTCATATTTACTGATTCTTTCCTTTGTCATTTCCATTCTGTGCCCATTCATTGAGTTATTTATATTTTTTAGTTCTAAAAGTTTTATTTTGTTATTTTTTGTATCTTGATATATTAAAATTTGAATATATAACTTTGCATATTTTTTACTGAGATTTTCTGTTTTTATGGTGGATATTTTCTATTTTGTCATTTGTTTCAAGTATCTTCATAATTGATGATTGAAATGTTTTTATGATAGCTGTTTTAAAATCCTTTCTAGATATTTCTAACATCTTAGTCATCTTGGTGTTGGCGTTTTTTTGTTGTCTTTTCTCATTTGGTTGAGATCTTCTTGGATTTTGGTATGATGAATAGTTTTTGATCAAAGCCTCACTTTTTATTTCTTTATTTATATATTAATCTTTATTTCAAAATATTAGGGGTACAAGTGTTCTTGTTACATGGGTAGATACTGAAGTCAGGGCTTTTAGTGTGCCTGTCACCAGAATAGTGTGCATTGTATCTGGTATGTAAGTTTTTATCCCTTCCCCTTCATAGTTCCAGTGTCCTTCACATACCTTATGACCATGTGTACCCATCATTCAGCTCCCACTTACTAGTGAGGACATGTGGTAAAACCTGGACATTTTAAGTACATAAGACTCTGAATCTTACTTAATCTTATGTTTTAGCAGACCTCCTCTTGGGGGGCTGCTTTGTCACTGCCAGCTGGAGAGGAGGAAGTCCGGGCTCTCTTCTGGCCTCCGTTGATACCCAGGGGTTGCTGTGGGGGGAGGGGTGTTTGGGAGTTTAGGCTCTTACTAGGTCTCCACTGAGATCACCCTGTCTGGGAAGGGAAAGAGCTCCTTCTTACTGCTTCCCGATGCCATAGTTGCCACTGAGTGGTCCTGGAAGTCCTCACCGTCCTCTAGGCCTCTGCTGATGTCATTCCAGTCAGATGGGAAGGGGCACCTTATTTCTGTTGGTCAGAGGTAGGGGTTCTGGCTCCTCAAATGGTCTCCATTGACACCAGGGGGTGGGATGGGGCTGTCTTGTTTCCATCTGGCAGGGATGAATTCTCAGCTTCCCCACAGCCCTCTCTGACAGCTCTGCAAGGGTGCCTTGTTATTACTTACTGGGTGTGAAGTGCTTTTCACACTTGGCCTTTGCTGGTGGGAGTTTAGGTGGGGTTGCAGGTTTTTCTGTGTTGTTTGCCTTGAATCGAGTGGTTGTTGTCTAAAGATGTTCTTTCTTGCTAGGTTGCCCCTTTCTTTCTTAGATTCTTTGGTAGGGAGAACAGGCTCTTCTCAGCCTTTTTTAGTGTGTACTTATTGGCATTTTTAGGTTGCCAACCTCTCCGTTATCCAGTCTGGGATGTATGAAGGAAAAAGGAATCCCAGGGACTCACTGTGCATCTTCCCTTGGGTCCTAAAGTTCCTGGCCAGTCTGCCTCCTCCTCTCCACTATCCAGTCTTTTTGTGTCTGTTTTGTGTATAATGTCCAGGAATTTTAGTTGTACTTAGCAGGAGCAATGGGGAAAAGAATGTCTCCTTCTTCTTCTAGAAGCACGAGTCTTGTCTCCTGCGTTTGTAAGGTGACAGGTTTAGATGCAAACATACATCTGCTGAGCCTCAGCTCCCTTTTCTCTCCTGTATCAGAGCACTTGTGCATGACATTAGTCGTAGTCGTCTGTACACTTGTCTGCTCCCTCTCACCTGTGAGCACATAAGGAAGCCAGACTTTGTCTGGGTGTTTCTCAGCATGCGGTTGTCATTCACTCAGTCAGTGGAGGTGGCTCTGCTGCCCACTACCAACTTCTGGCAGTGCCCTCTCATAGGTGTATGTGGCTAGAAAGCCGTCAGTCACCTGCCTAGGTACCAGACCTCAGGCATCCTCATCTTCCATATGCTACCTGGAATTGCTGAAATTGGGCTGGGGGGATTCTGCTTCTAGGCTGGCTTCACCTGGAGAATACCGGTTTTCAATGAATCCTTACCATCTGGTCCAACCTGATCATTTTACAGATGAGCAAAACAGGGCTCAGAGTAGTTAGGTAGGTGACTCACTGAAGGTCAAGGTAACGTAATAACTGAATTGAAATCCAAATCTCTTGTAAGTCCAGTTTTTTCTTGTTGTATTTTTCTGCCTTCTTTATTCTACAGCCTGAAGGAGGACTCCAGTTGTAAGTATTTTTTAAACTAACTTTAAAGAAGGGGCATAACCACACTGTCTCACTTTTTTTTCCATTATTGACAATTAAATGTTACCAATTACAGTCTGGAGTTCCAATTTTAATACAATATCAGTGGTTTCAAACTTGTCTTTCTAATGGGCCTCTTTCTTTTCAGCAGGCATATGGCTATGGTCCATACGGTGGTGTGTACCCACCAGGAACTCAAGTTGTCTATGCTGCGAATGGGCAGGCATATGCTATGCCCTACCAGTACCCCTATGCAGGTAACTTGTGCCAGCCTTCCCTTCCTTGTTGCTCTTCATTTACTGGGTAGACTAGTGAAGCCTGTAAGAATTTTTTTTTCTTTCCTTCTTATTTTTTTGAGACAGAGTCTCACTCTCTTGCCTGGGCTAGAGTGCCGTCAGCCTTGCTCACAGCATCCTCAGACTTCTGGGCTCAAGCGATCCTCCTGCCTCAGCCTCCCTGGTAGCTGGGACACAGGCACGCACCACCATGCCTGGCTAATTTTTTTCTATTTTTAGTTGTTTGGCTAATTTCTTTCTATTTATAGTGGAGATGGGGCCTCACTCTTGGTCTGGAACTCCTGAGCTCAAGCAATCCTCCTGACTTGGCTTCCCAGAGTGCTAGGATTATAGGTGTGAGCCACCATGCCGGGCCAGAATTTCTATTTTTCAGTTTAAGGTTAAGTGAGCTCAGTTTTCTGGTTAGAGACCATAAATCATTCTAGTACTATTCTTAAAAAGAAAAAAATATATAAGCATTTTGTATTTACAAAGCTAGAATAGGCTTGATTTTTTTAGAACTTTGCTATTATGTCCAGATTAGTTCTCAAGAAAATAATTTATACTTACTGGGATTCACTTATTAAGAAGCAACCAAAATAGGCCCATTCTGGCCGGGCACAGTGGCTCACGCCTGTAATCCCAGAACTCTGGGAGGCGGAGGTGGAAGGATCGCTCAAGGTCAGAAGTTCGAAACCAGCCTGAGCAAGAGGGAGACACTCGTCTCTACTATAAATAGAAAGAAATTAATTGGCCAACTAAAAAAAAGGTATATATAAAATTAGTTGGGCATGATGGTACATGCCTGTAGTCCCAGCTACTCGGGAGGCTGAGGCAGGAGGATTGCTTGAGCTCAGGACTTTGAGGTTGCTGTGAGCGAGGCTGACGCCAGGGCACTCTAGCCTGGGCAACAAAGTGAGACTCTGTCAAAAAAAAAAATAGGCCCATTTTTTTCTTTTTTTTTAAGGGATGAGAGGTAACCTTTCACTTGTGTTTTCCCTCTGGTAATGACCTTGGAAAGTTGTTACTGCTGAGGTAATGATCTATTTCACAATGGAGTGTAGGCCTGAAGGGCCTAGTATTTATTCTGGGCTTTGGATGTGTTCTTCCTATTTTTCACCTCACATGAAAGAAATGGTAGGTGTGAGTAACCGCCCATGTAGGTGGCATCAGGTCCTGGGTCTCCTGGGCAAGGGGTTCTCCAGAATGGAAGCGTGAGAGAATGCTGGCTGCTGCCTGGGGCCATGTAGGACTGGACTGCAGTGAGGGAGAGGAGGGCAGAGCTCCAGCTGATGGCCCCTGTGAAGTCAGGCAGGGCAGGTGCAGAAGGGCATGGCACATCTGTTGGTTCTGGGGGTTGGGTTGGGGGTTGGAACCCCCCAGAGCTCAGGTTGAGACAGGGAATGTGGGAGGGTCTACAGGAAGAGTAGTTGTCTTGGGCTGTGAGCAAAACTAGCACAGTGTCTTAGTGCAGAGGCAGTGGGAGGGGAGCTGTTAGCAGAAGTGTGGGTGGTCACTGATAGTGGTATCCAGAGAAGTCAAGGAGCCCCCAGGATCACACTCTTAGTGGTGTTCTTATAACTACTGATGGTTACTTTGGCTTCTGATACATTTAGCACCAAATATGAGAGGTGGTTTTTTTTTTAATAGAAATAAAGCTCATATTCAAAATATTCATCTGTCCCTGGAATCTGACGTAAGTTCACCCAACTAGCAACGACTTTGGAGGATTCTGCCTTGCTTGACTTCTTTTCATGTCAAATTGAAAACCAGTAAAATAATTATAAATTATCATGACAGATTAAATAGTTGTCCATCATTCTGTGATCTTAGCACAAATATTTTTCTTTGAATTACAGTCAAGTCCACACTTAACGTTGTTGACAGGTTCTTGGAAACTGCATTTTTAAGTGAAATGATGTGCAGCAAAATCAGTTTTACCATAAGCTAATTGATACAAATAAGAGTTAAGTTCCTACAGCATATTTCTGGTCACAAAAATATCACCAAACTTCTAAATAAAGACCAAAACACTTCTAATATTAAATAGTGAGATAAAGGTGAGCTATTATATGTACATTTAAGAAAGATTCATAAAGGCAACATAATTATTGACCCAGTTATTACAGTTTAGGGTGGAGGGTGGCTGGAACCTATACCAGCCCCTCAGGGCGTATGGCGGGAGCTTCCCCTGGACAGGCTGCCATTCCATCTCGGATGTACTCGCACACAGCCACACCTACTCAGCTGGGACAGTGTAGATGTGCCAGTTCACTTAGCAAAGGAAACTGGTGTATTCAGAGAAAACCCATGCAGACCTGGAAGAAATGTCCAGACTCCACAAAGAGAGTGAGTGACTCCAGTAGGGAATTGAATTTTTTTTCCTCATCAACATAACAAAATGAACTAAATAAAATGACATTATTTGAAAACCTGCTGTACCTTCCCCATATAAAATAACTATTTTATCCTTGTAATCATGCATTGCCGTTTGTATTTCTAGTCTTCTTTTTAAATGTTACATGTTGTTCAGAATGCTATATAATATTTATAAGTATTTTTAGTGATTGTATGTTATATCAGATAATGTATTGAATCTTCCAGCATTGGCTGCTTGTTTTTTTATTTTCCTGTTTTTCTTTTTTTGTTATGATACTGCTATGAACATCTTTAATCATTTTCTTTTTTATTCCTATTGAATATGTATTAGAATATGTTTCTGTATATGGACTCCTTCCAACTTAGGATTATTCAGCTTAATGATTTTGGACTTTAAGGTGGCGTGAAAGCAATATGCGTTCTGTAGAAACTGTACTTCAAGTACCCATACAACCTTTCTGTTTTGGACTTTCAGTACAGTATTCAATTAATTACTTGAGATATTCAACACTTTAGTATAAAATAGGGTTTGTGTTAGTTGATTTCCTCCAACTATAGGCTAATGTCAGTGGTCTGAGTCCATTTAAGGTAGGCTGTGTTAAGCTATAATGTTTGGTAGGTTTGGTGTATGAAATGCATATTCAGCTTAGGGGTTTATCAGGACATAACCCCATTGTAAGTCGTAGCGTCTATGTTAAATGAATATGTCAAAGGCATAGACTTTTTTTGATACCATTGAAAACCATCAAAAACCTCTGGATTATTTTGAGGGAAATCCCAGACTATATATCACTTCATCTGTTAATATTATGATATGTCTTTACAGATTGGAGCTTTTTGTGAAAAAAAAGAGAAAAAATAAATATTATGATATGTCTTGATAGCATTTTACCAAGTTGATTCCCAGAACACTGTACCAATATAATGCCACCAGCAGTTGCTGATACATAGGTTTCTCTGTAGTCTCATAAAGACTGCCTATTGTGATGCTCTAAAAGCTTTGATAGCTTCAGTGGGTATCAAGTGGTATCATCAAGTTGCGTTAGTTTACATTTTTAGGATGGCTGGCAAGGATAAAGATTGTCTTTGTAGTTGTTCACTAATTATATTTCCCCTTGTGTGAGTTATTTTCTTTTGCCAATTTATCTGTTGGGGTCCTGATGTTGGTGGTAGGTTTTTAAGGCCCTAGCCTTCCCACATGAGAGCCAGCCTCTTATTTAGCTTCCTGTCCACAGAACGGGGAGACCACTGCTGCTTTTTACTGTATAGTAGAGCAGAAGTATTGCAGAAGTAGTTGTACAGGGGATTTATGGAAATCAGATTACATCCTTGTCCTTGACTCTCCTTAATCAAGTAGAAATCACACTCTCAAGGGCAGCACTTCTTATACTTGCTGCCCAAGGGGCTGAGTCAGTAGGGTTTGTGACCAACCAGCAGATACATGTGCTTTGGAAGGGCTGAGCTCGTGGTCGTCCTGCCTCAGTGTGGTGACCAGGTAGCCAGCAGACCTGCTTGCTGTGAAGGCCAAGTGGGTTTGTGGTCGTGCCACAGCAGTGTTGTACTGACCACCAGGTGCTCATGTCTGGTGCTTTGCCACCTGCATCCCGTGCTGCCTGCTAGGACCTCGCTGCCTATAGCTAGTCCATAGGCACTCTCCTAGTTACGCACAAAGTCCTTCTGTTTAGTGTGATCAGGACCAGTGGTCAGTCAGCCAGTTGGAAAAGTACAGAGAATGCTGTGTACATCCTGTAAGTGTCTTGCTTTAATTTAACCTTGTTAATGGACATTTGGTCAGCTGTCTTTTGGTGTGAGGTTGAGGTCTTCGCTTTGAGTTGGCCCCTTTGCTTGCAGTCTTCCATTTTTGTCTTATGGGGATCATCCTCCTGATACATCATTGCACTGCAGTTTCCAGGGGCAAGTCCACAGCAGACTTGCACGTTTTGTGATGATAGCAATCCCTTCCCTCCATCTTTGTAGTTTTCTTAATTCCATGACTCGATGGTAGTTGTAAAAGTGACCTTCCTTTATTTAGTCTTTCTTGTATGTAGTCTCTAACTTAGTTGTCATAGAAACAGTATCTGCCTTTTTCTCATTCACATTTTGGCCATTTATATAACACTCAGTTAAATTAAGTATGACTGAGAAATGTCCACACCTGACTTTGGTGAGGATTTGGCTCATGGTAGGGGCAGAGGTAAGTAAGCAGGAGCCACAAGAGAGCCCCTGGTCCTGCAGTGAGGGGACCTCAATGTGACCTATGGAAGGGGACCCAGAGTTTATATTTTCTAGGGGATCTTTTCATTAGGTCAGCTTACAAGTTTCTACTATGTTACGTTTAGCTAGTTGGAGCTGCATAACTGAACATTTTTAAATTTTGAGATTGCAAAAGTGAATGCCACAATTCACTGGTTTTGAAATTTAAGCATTGCATAGAAAGTCATTTATTTCCATTGATGTTACCTATACCTGACCAGCCCTTCTTAGATTTATGATGGTTTCATTCTGCTACTCTGTGCCTGATTTTTTTCTGTCTCCCATCATCCTCTATTGCGTTTGGGTGTTAGTGGGTATGAGTGCAGACTGTAGCCAAAGTGCCTGGGTTTGGGTGCCCTTCTTGCCCTTAGCCTCTGTATGCCTCAGTTTGCCCATCTGCAGAATGGGGGTAAGAATGTACTCAGTTAAGTGAGTCAGTGTGTGTACATGCATGTGATACTGTAAGTGCTTAGATTGGTAAGCACTGGGAACGTTAGCCTCAGTGACACTGCTTCAGCCTCACTTCTGCTAACTCTAGCGATACGTGAGAGATTTGCAAGATCATTACATGAGCTACTGGGCAATACAGGTATGTAGCATAGAAAACATTTCCAGTTGTAAATTTGAATCATGCAAGTTAAATATTAAATTTGTTTAAGTTTGCTCTTTTAGAGCTTCCACTACATGTACACATTATTAATGGGTTAGTTTCTAGCTCTCCTAGGGTTGAACCGTTAAAGGAATAGGGGATCAGGCCGGGCGTGGTGGCTCACGCCTGTAATCCTAGCACTCTGGGAGGCTGAGGCTGGTGGATTGCTCGAGGTTAGGAGTTCGAAACCAGCCTGAGCAAGAGTGAGACCCCGTCTCTACTATAAATAGAAAGAAATTAATTGGCCAACTAATATATATAGAAAAAATTAGCCGGGCATGGTGGCGCATGCCTGTAGTCCCAGCTACTTGGGAGGCTGAGGCAGTAGGATTGTTTGAGCCCAGGAGTTTGAAGTTGTTGTGAGCTAGGCTGATGCCACGGCACTCATTCTAGCCTGGGCAACAAAACAAGACTCTGTCTCAAAAAAAAAAAAAAAAAAAAAGAGTTATAAGGGGTCAAGAGGGAAAGTTAACCCTAGCGATACGTGAGAGATTTGCAAGATCATTACATTAGCTACTGAGCAATACAGCTGTGTAGCATAGAGAACATTTCCAGTTGTAAATTTGAATCATGCAAGTTAAATATTAAATATGTTTAAGTTTGCTCTTTTAGAAGTTCTTACCTCTAACATAAATATTTTTTTCCCTGGGAAGGAATGTGATTAAAAATGAAGAGCAAGTTACATTAGCAGATTTAAGTTTAATTTAAAAATTAGTTTGTATGAAAACCAAGAAGCTAATTTGCTTTTAAGTGGGCTTTTCCTTTGTGGGCTTTCAGTGGGCATTTTTGGCTCCCGTTGTCTGCGCGCTGTGTATCCCCCGTGCCCGCCCCGTCTGCCATCTCAGCGGGTGTGGTGTGGAGGCTGGAGTGTGCAGCTTTGCCAGGCTTCTGCTTTTGCTGCGTTAGGGACTTTGGCCCTTGGCCAGCTGGGGATCTTGATTTTCCTCCCAGTGTGGGCTCAGGGATGCAGGCCGCGTGCTGTGCGTGGTGAAGGAGGGCAAGGGCGCACTCGCTGCACCCCACACTCACCAGCAGATGGGGAGACAGCTCTGTTGTGATTAACGCGACGTCCACAGCTGAGCGAGCTATCTTTTGTGTGAATGTTGGACTTCACAAACTCCTCAGATGTCTGTTTTTTTCTTTCTTTTTTAGGGCTTTATGGACAGCAGCCTACCAACCAAGTCATCATTCGTGAGCGGTACCAAGACAATGACAGTGATCTGGCGCTTGGCATGCTGGCTGGAGCGGCCACGGGCATGGCCTTGGGGTCTCTGTTCTGGGTCTTCTAGAGGCCTTGAGATGTTGATGTGCATAGCGATACCCTGTGTGCAATAATATGATTTGCAGGGCATTTTTGTTTGTGGCAAATGTTTCTAATAATAGTTTTAATAGTTCTTTTGAAAGTAGTGATGCCATAATTGTAATTAGTCCACAGAAGTATCATAGAGAAAGACTACACTGTTTAGCTAAAACACGGACTCTTGGGGGCACTAGCTCATTCTAAGACTTCCTATGGGAAGTCTTGGAATACCTTATTTGAACATCCCTGTTTTGAGAGGCATTTTCTTTTTAGCTTGTAGTGCTTAGGGGATAATTTATGTTTGTGTTGTGCCAGTAATCTAGTGATACGTGAGTAAATGAGTGATTGAGGCAAGAAAAACAGCTTTTTGTTTAACTTCAGACCTTCGAACCTCAGACCAGAACTGGCTGCATGTCACCTTAGGGATGGTGGGCCGGTCAGCTCCTGGCAGCTCCTGAGGCAGTGATGTGAGAGCCCACACCCGCCCTCTGAGCTCTGCAGGCCCCAGCACGGCGATGCTCAGGATGACAGGGACAGCCCTCCTGAGGCAGTGACGGAGAGCCCACACCCACCCTCTGAGCTCTGCAGGCCCCAGCACGGCGACGCTCAGGATGACGGGACAGCCCTCTTGTGGAGAGGATGCTTTAGAAACCTACGGAACCCTAGCTGCTTATTCTTGTGTTATTTTTGTATGTTTTTGGTGGTGATAGCTGGAAACATCCCAAATTAGGAATTGATTTGTGCCTCGAAGTTTTAGGGCTTTATCGTTTAAACTTGAGAAGAAAGCATGACGATAACAAACAAGTGTGTGCAGGTAGATCTGCTTCATTTTTTTTTCTTTTAAAAATTTTTATTTTTCATTCTTTCCCTTTTTAAGCCTAGAGATGTTGAAGATCTGCTTTATTCAGAGACAGGGTTTTAGGTCTGCTTTGGGTTTTCTCTTGCTGCCTAAGCCTACTCATAGCCTATTTTTCTACTTGTGCGAGAATGATGCTAAAAGAACGGCGAGGGAGACACGGCTGTGGTGAGAATGTTCTGTTCCAGGCCTTCTCGAGGCTGTGCTGGCGGAGGGTGCTGCTCTGTCCTGCTGAAGGCCTGTCGTGTGCCAGGGTGTGGCCTGTGGCTGAGATGAACCATAGCAGGAAGATGCAGGTTGTAGGGAAATGGGGCCCAGGGGCCCTAGAGATGTGAGGGACCTGCTCCAAGCATCCTTCAGCTTGGGCGGGACCCCAGCTGTGTTTCTGTTCCTGACCTACAGGTGATGGAGAAGGTTAGAGCATTCGCTTTTGAGCCCCAAGATGTGTGAATCTCTGGAAAGCCCATAGTCTTTCCTCTCTGTCAAATATTCCCATTTCCAGTATTATCAAGTTCCAAAATTAAGAAGTATGTATTTCAAGTATTCACATTTGGCCGGGCGCGGTGGCTCACGCCTGTAATCCTAGCACTCTGGGAGGTCGAGGTAGGCGGATTGCTTGAGGTCATGAGTTCGAAACCAGCCTGAGCAAGAGCAAGACCCCGTCTCTGCTATAAATAGAAAGAAATTAATTGGCCAACTAGTATATATAGAAAAAATTAGCCGAGCATGGTGGTGCATGCCTGTAGTCCCAGCTACTTGGGAGGCTGAGGCAGAAGGATCGCTTGAGCCCAGGAGTTTGAGGTTGCTCTGAGCTAGGCTGATGCTAGGGCACTCATTCTAGCCTGGACAACAAAGTGAGACTCTGTCTCAAAAAAAAAAATTATTCACATTTCTGTTATTTCACATTTCAAAGCTCCTAAAGACTCCGGTTTTCTGTCCTGCATGCTGTGAACAGTGTACTTTTGCAAGGGCAGTTTAGCACAGTGAATGTGTCTCCCCACATTCCATGTGGTCCAATTTTTCCCAAAATACGCTCCGGGTAGCACAGACTCTGCTTTATTTTTCCTGGCTGGTTACATGATTCTCTCTTGCTGTATTGCCCAGTCAGCTCTGTCTTTGAGGACTCACACAGATCTCCATATGAAACCAGATGCCGAATGAACTAACTGGGTGGTGAGCCCAGGTCTGTTCTCTCCAGTTGCAGGGGTCTTGTTGACTCAGGAGTGTCTGTCTCTACCTGGAAGGAATGTTTTTACCTGTCATGCCTGGATAGAAGCAGTGTGTGACAACAGTAGTGTCAGTGGTTTCCCATGCTGTTTTGAGGATTTTACATCCTGTGTAATGAGAATGGCTTTGTTCAGATTGTAACCATTTTCAAAGCTATATGCTTTACTTTCAACCTACTAACAGTTTTCATGTTGCATCAAGTGTTAATTTTGGACTTGGAGTTATTGGGTGGGAATTATGGGAGCCACAGAATATTTAGTTATGCCACTTACATGCACTTGAAGTAGATATCTCCCTGTGCTCTTCTGGCTAAAGAGGAGAGGTATGGATGGAAGCATGGGCAACTGTGTGTCCCAGTCCCCGTCCCCTGTACAGCCAGCCTCAGTAACAGGCAGTCACAGTGAGGCCTGGAAGTTCCTGTCAGTAGACTTCGGCCTAGTGTGACATGCATGCACTCTGGGGTGAAGGTGGGTGCAGATTGTTCCTTGCCACAGTTCCCATAGATGCCAACCTTCTGATTGCCTCCCTTTCTCAGTGATATCCTTTGGTAAGTGTGTGAGTTGGAAGAAATTTCTTGTTCATGTTTGAGTAAGCATTAACTTCCATGTGTATTTTTAAAATAATGATCTGTACTTGGGAGAAGTTGGCCATTGACATTGTACACATAGCTGATATGATCTTTTAATTCCTTGAGTTGACTTCAGCATTTTGGGGACTAAAGAGAAGAGGGAGACCTATGGTTAATGTCTCAGATTGTCATTCAGAAACAAGGCTAGACCTGTTTTAGGCCATCCAGGACTAGGGTCACCATGTGGATCATGAGAAGAAGGTCGTGCAGTGGAGTCAAAGTGGCCCAAGTGTATTTTCCACATCAAGTGTTGGTCCTGTGTAATCTTTCTTTTTCCTTCCCTAGTTTGTGTAGACATAGGCATGGAGTGCAATTCCACTTCTCTTTCCAGAGTTGATCTTGTTTGTAATTGCTTCCCCATTGCTAGTATTATGTTGTGTCTGCAGAACCTATTTTCCCCTCCTGTATATGCAAATTGTACATTTTAAGTGAAAATGTCAATACATTAAATGATCGTTAACCTTAAAGTATGTTTCATTGTGACTTCTGTTGTCTTTTAACCATTATTTTGTAGTAACATACTACCAGCTTGTTCTGCTGCTATGGACCATAAGAATGCCATTGATTGAGGACCTGCCAAGTGCTAGCAAATGTATTGTCACATCAGAAAAAAACAACTCACTCAGTTCTTACATTGACTGTGTTAAAGGCATCATTATCCAAGTTACACTGGATGAGACCGAGGCTCAGAAGTTTGTTTACTCAGGACCGCACAGGTAGTAGGTGAAGCTTGCATCTCAGTGTGAGGTTACAGCGTGTTTTCTCTGTGCCGTGTGCATGTGAGAGTGATTTCCACAGACATGGGTGGTCTGTGTAGTCACACTGTTAGGATAGCTGGTAGAAAACTGACAGTATTTTCCTTGACCAGATCACCTTGGTGGTGTGTTTCCAGTAACTTCTCTAGTATCTTTGGATGCATGACTTTGTGTTTTTTGTTTCTGTTTTTAAAAATTATTTTAGATTTCCTTTGGTTCCTGAATTACCTCAGTCTCCTCTGGGCTACTTTTTCTGTCTCACATGTTGTAGACTCTAGTTATATGGTGACGTGTGGTTGCCTGTTACAGTTTAAGATGGGGAGTCCCACCCTAGGAAGCTGGGTCTCATGGTTTTGTTTCTTTCGAGAAGAATCCTCGATTCTTCCATTGTTCCAATCCATTGTCTCTGGATGTGGGCTGAGGGTGCCGGCCACACGCTCTCCAGCCTGACTTCTGAAGGCTGGCCTTCCTGTGCCTCTGGCTGCCTCCAGGGCTTGGCTTGTTTTCTAGTTTACCTTTGTAAATAGGTTATATGTAGTTCAAAAGTTAAAACAACAAAAAAGGAGACATTCAGTGAACTTCTCTTACCCGGCCAGTTCTACTGATACTGGTCTGTTCATTCTTCATGAGTTTCTTTATCCGTAATAAGCTAGTACATAATAATGAGCTGATATAAACATAGATTTATATTTTTCTCCCTTTTTTACACAAAAGTATACCATATATAACAAAGTACCCAAATTTGGTCTTGAGACTAAGCTTTGGTCTTGGGGTCAAGGCCCTCCCAAAAGAGCTTTTTTTTTTTTTTTTTTTTGAGACAGAGTCTCGCTTTGTTGCCCAGGCTAGAGTGAGTGCCGTGACGTCAGCCTCGCTCACAGCAACCTCAAACTCCTAGGCTTGAGCGATCCTTCTGCCTCAGCCTCCCAAGTAGCTGGGACTACAGGCATGAGCCCCCATGCCCGGCTAATTTTTTATATACATATCAGTTGGCCAATTAATTTCTTTCTATTTATAGTAGAGACGGGGTCTCGCTCTTGCTCAGGCTGCTTTTGAACTCCTGACCTTGAGCAATCCGCCCGCCTCGGCCTCCCAGAGAGCTAGGATTACAGGCGTGAGCCACCGCGCCCGGCCCCAAAAGAGCTTTTTAAATGTGATTTATATCTTTTAATATTTGTCATATTAGAAAATTTGAGAAATTGAAAAACTTTAAAAAATGATAAATCTATTGTATAGTGACATTTAAAAAGTAGAATTAATAAAAAAATACTTTTCAAAATAAAATCAGGCATGGCATTGTTTTCACATTTAGAAGATTTTCTTCAGTGTCTGAATTAATAGAAGATAGCCACTTCCGGGATCTGCATTTCCTCTGTTGTGATTTGGGTTTTCGTCGGGGTGTATGAAGGAAAAATGGCCTCACACAGCTGTGTAGTTGGGAAGGGAGGACCTAGTGGGAGTCTGGGGCGCCCTTGGGTCTAAGGTCATACCCTGACAGTGCTGATGTAGGTTGGCCTGTGCCTTATTTTTTCCACTTAACCGTACCCGGGTATTTCTGTCAGCTTATAAAGGACTTCATTCATTTTAATTGCCCCACAGTTTATCCAGTACCCTTTGACTTTTGTTATTGCTAACAGTGCTAGAATATACAAAAGTCATTCCTCCCGGCCAGGGGCCTCTCCAAGATG